GAATACAATTCTGCTAGTTCTTTTAAGTTTTTAGTTTTAGTTTAAGATTTTGTTTCAAATTAAGATTCATCCATTTGAATATATTATAGACCATACAAGATATTAATTTATTGTTTATGCCACTTTTCAATGATCATAAATGATGAGCTTATTGTCCTCAAATTTGTTGTCAATGCTTTCATCATTATAATCTAAAATTTTTATCAGATTATTCGACAAATCATAATTTTATGAGGACATCAAAAAACTATAAGATCTTTTACTTCACACAAATAGTAGATAAGCTCTGTAGTTTGTGGAATTGAGGATATACAACAATTGACATTATAGAACTAGACGTTCCTATCCTTGTGGCGAGGAACTGGTCGGTATTGCTTCTAGTTGCCTCTCCACTTCTTTATGACAACTGACAAGCTTCATCAATAGTCTTTTGTTCAAAGAGAAGTATGATAGGAAACACTTGGATTTCCACGTGTTTCATACCAAAACCCAAGTAGATCTAGGTTGAACTGCTGTCCACAGCAGGAAAACAGCCAAAAACAGAGAAGAAACGTTGGAAAACGTAGGAAAAAATAATACAAACGCTTTTATTTCGATAACGGATGAAAAGCACTTGCAAGATACAACTTTCCTTCAATTCGAGAGGAAGGAAAAACTCTCCCAAAGATCTCCGGCAAAGCCAAGAGCCCAAGACACCAAAACCTAGATCTCAAAATAATTCAAACTCAAGATGATTCCAAATCCCTCCAAAACACCTAATTAAAGACAAAGGATTAATACAAAATACCTAAACAGCCCCTCATTCAAATATTTTCCCTCCTAACTTGAATTAACACCAAGTGGGCCCACCCACTTGTTTCCGCCCCCCCTCTGCCTTCCGCCTCCTGTAGGCAATGACCGGTCCAGGGTGGACCGGTCCAGCCGGCCCAGGATGGGCCGGCGTAACAAAGTACTGATGAGGACATCAGTCCAAGATTTCGACATGTGTACCGTCGTCGGAGTCGTAGATCGACGGCTACGATCCATAGTCTGTACTTTTGATATATTTTGTATTTTATTTATTTTCTGTTTCTATTTCCCTAGTTTGCCCCTATGGGTAGTGAGTTGCCATTGTAGCCCCGAGGGCATTTGTGTCTTTCTGCTTTTCTTTCATTGAGGCCAATATATTAAGGTCTCTTAGCTTTGTATTGGATGATGAATTATTGAATGAAATTTTATGTTCTTTGTTTTGATCTCTAAGTGAGTTCATGAGAGGAGAAAGTCGATAAGGGTGATAGCAAGACCTGTCAACCGTCAGAGGATTCCAAGGTTCGCGGCCCCGATCTTTTCTTCTTCCCCTAACATAAACTTCCTCTCCTCACCTATCACCCGCCTGCCCCTCCCTAACCAAATCCACTTTTTCTCTCCTTCCCAAAAATCGAGCCCCACCTCATAATGCTCGCCTCCTTGGATGCCCTACCCGCCGGCCAACCACCTAGCCGCCGACCTCCCGTCCTCCACCCACCGGCCACCTTTTCCCCTTGCTCAACCCACCGGCCCACCTCCCCAAGCCCTCACATTTGAAATTCAAATTTCAAATATTCAATTACCCACTTTCCTAAAATAAGTCTTAGTCATCTAGGAAAGTTTCCTATTGGGAATTCAATTAAATAATTGAGATCAAATACTATCCTATTGTCTAAATTTAAATTAGGAAATCTCTCTGTTTAAATCAAATTTGACTTAAATTTCAGATTTTGATTTAATCCTTGGGGCCCACTTACTTAAACGAAATCCCTCTCCCCCACTCTCTACATGGCCGGCCACCTATTCCCTTCCCCCCTCTCTCCTATTTCATTAATTGCTCCCACTAAATCCTCTCTAATATCCTCCTAACCGCCGGCCCCTCCATTATTGGCCTAATTTTGAATTTCAAAATTAATCCCCATCTCATTGTTCCAAAATCTGAATTAATTTCAGATTTTAGAATTCTCCCTCCCTTTCCTTCTCTTCCCCAACTCACCCGAACCCCCACCGCCCCCTCTTGGCCACCTCTCCAAGGTAGCGGCTCCTCCACCACTACTTCCCCAACTACACAAAAAGCCCCGCCGCTCATGATCATGAATGACAGATCCGGAAGTTGACCACAGACTTATTCTCAACTCTCAAGGGAAGATTGACGTCATCCGGTCACCCTTCTTTGATCATGGCTTTGTAGCCGAAGGCACCGTCAAGGAGTACGTGGATCGTATCCTTCCCCATTTAGCGGAAGTCATCAATGAACAAATTTCTCTTGAAGATTGGGAGATCACCGGACGCGTACCCGTTCCTCCAACTCCGATTCCTTCCCCGACGACTAGTACCCTCGGCGTCACGTGTCTTCTAGTGGCATCCCTAAGCTTGCTTGCAACCTTCCTCCGCTAAGCCTATTATTTCAAGAGTGTGAGTGAGGGATCCCAAGGTGAATTATCTAAATTGTTAACGATGGATTTTGTTAACGTGCCATTTGCTCTACTTATTTATTTGTTGATGTAATTTTTGCAAGTCTCCTATTGCTTAATTGTAATCAATTATCATTACTTAGTTCTTCCGTGGAATTTTCTAAAGATATATCTTGAAAACGCACTCGTTCATGCTTAACTACGCCAAGTTCACAATTTATTAATTTTGTACAAGCAATTCTTGTTTCATCTTCATTGTATTACATCAAGTACTTTAGTCTTAATTTAGGATAAAGATCATTTAATATTACTATCTATATTTCTTCTTTCAAATCACACTAAGAATTCAAATCTTCTAATTAATTTAAGTATTTATTAATTGTTTGATTGTTTTGCATCATATTCATCATTTTTGTATTATTCTAAACTTATAATAAGTAAATAGGTATGCAAGACTTTTCCTTTTTGAATCGAGCTCCTAGCCAAGCTCTCTCAGGAACACTAATAAATTTAGGACTTGTTTGGGATCTTTTTTATTTTTGTTTTATCTAAAAAAAAACATTTATTTATTGTGTTTTCTTTAACTATTTTTATTCTTTTAAATACAAGTCAAGATTTTTAAAAACACTAAAAATAAAATTCAAATGTTTTCAAAAACACCTATCACCAATGACTATTGCTACCATTGGCCTCTACCACTGGTTGTTGTCACTATCACCACCACTGAACACTGCTACCACCACTATCGGCCATTGCCATCAACTCATAAATAAATAAATATAAAATATTTTTTAATATAACAAGCATATTTTATTTCATGTCAAATTATAAATAATAAATTATAAAAAAAGTAAAGTGGTATCGAAAGTTTCCTTAGTCTTCTCATGTTTGACACTTTATCTGAAATACAAGACATAGAATCTTCAAATTTAAGAAAAGCATTTGGAGTATATATATAGCCCCAAAGGTTCAGCAGTTGAGGCATCGGACTCTGCGTTCATTTGCATGCATGATGCCTTTGGTTTTACTCATCATGATCCTCTCTAAAATAAAACTCTTGAAATGATCCTTAGCGTTTTTATAGTCTTAGGCTTCGTCTTTTTTTATTACTTCTTAAAGCTGCTTTTTTAGTAAAAAATTAAAATTTTTATACAAAAAAACCTCTTTAAGAAGCAGTAAGAAAACCATCCCAAACGAAACCTTAATGTTCTCTCTGACCCTAAGATCCCAATGATGTATATTATCTTTAAAATTCCTCGTCTGCGTAAGTTAGAGATGATGGACATCTAAACCTATCATTAGAACATTGCTAACAAAATGATGTCCACAGAGGCCACACGATCCTAGTAAATCATTTAGGTTTTTGAAGAAGGTAAATAACTCTCTTGAAGCGGATATCATATGGATTCAACGGGCAAAAGATGGAACACTATGAGATAATTTTTTGTCAAGATTTTTAAATTGATTCATTGGAATTCTTAAGTTGGTCATTTGGCTTGGCGTTTCATTTAACTTGCCCATAATTTGATAAAATTTAGCTTTTTACATTTTTAATTATCTTTTCACCCGCAGCCATTCTAATTTTATGTTATTTACCGTATGCTTTATTGTTCTGTATTTGTAATATTTCATATCCACCTTTCTACGTTAGAACTGATAGTAATTTAGTGATATAAAAGGAAGCTCAATTTCTATATGTAATGTCGCTAACATAGTAGTCCTGTACGCAATTTTTAAATGAATTACTGTTTCAAAATTTTAATTGAACTATTATTTCAGATATATAAATTTTGCACATAATACAGTTGGGAGATTTAAATCAATTACATTCGATCTTGGTTTAATTTAAAATTTACTATTTGCCTCTTATAAATTTCATGTCTTGGGAGGTCAATAACATCTCATCTCTTAGTTTTACCTACTCATCCTTAAGCATTATTTCTTTTGAGCTTTTTTCTTGCAGGCATCCATAATTATTACTTTATGATGTGCGATTAAATTTTCTCCGAATTATCTTTCAATTATAAAAAAAAAAAACTTTTCTTCTTTATTGATTAACATTTGTAATCTGGTAGTTCTATTTTTGAAACTGAGTGCATAAGATGACTGTAAATAGACTTTGGGGGTTTGGAAATATGCAACAAAAGGTAAAAATATATACTATTTAGATGAGTTGATAACATTAGTGTGAAAGGATTTGAAAAAGAAACATGATGGATCTAATTTTACATAGAAGTTGTTCAAAATGATTTAGAAAGACTAGATTTAACACATCAAATAAAACTTAAAGAAGTATGGAGGATAGAAATGCCAACCCCTAATAGTAGGGATAAGTCTAATGAAGATGATGATTATTAGATTATATGCTGAACGCCGAACGTCGTCCGAAGACCAATCAAAATGCGTCACGTCAGCAGTACCGAGCCGAGTACCGAGCAGGGGTGACTTGGTGTATTCTGATTGATCTCTGGACGGCAATAATTGGACTTGTTTGCTGAGGGCTCGGAATTCTGACATGGATATTGTTGTACAGTTGAGATATCTTTTGCATTGATATAAATTTTATAAATGTCTTCTCAGGTGACGGAGACCGGCGTCGAGGTTCTAACAGGTCGGCTGCAATCATCTCCCCATGTTTTTCCCTGGCTGAGCTCTTAATAGCCCACAGAATTCGCACCAGATTCCAGTGAGGAACAAGTTATGCAGCCAAAAATAATAAACACCGCCATTCATTTTGTAGCCTTCGAAAATAATTATTATGTTCACCGTCCAATTTGAACATATTGCTTATATTTGGAGTTGTATAAATATATTTTAAGTAGGGTATTTTGATTGTTATTGACTGATTAGTTTACATTCTGTAATGACGAATTTGATTGTTGTATCTTATTAAGAGCTATGATTCTTGGTGTTGTACGCAGCGTTGATATTTAGTATTGAGCAGTCCTCGTTATTGTTATAGGTTATTGAGACATGGAGGAAATTTGAGTGAGAATATCCCTTTCTAAATTATGGTGTTATTTGGGGCAATTTTCTTATTGTTTTTTAAAGCAAATTTTTAGTTAAAAAATTAAATTTTTTTACTAGAAAGTTGTTTTAAAAAATAATAAGCCCTAAACGAAGCCTAAGTAGAATGAACTTTTCATTAATTTATTAATTTGTTTTATGACAAGTGTAGTATAAGAGTTGATTGGTTAATATTAAGTCATTTTGATCTTAAAGTAGATGTAAGGGATCAAAATTACTTTCTAAGCAATTTTTGAGTCAGTGTTAAGGATGTTAGGATTAGGGGTGTCAATTTGGGTTAACGGGTTGGGTTCGAGTCGAATCCGGAATTGTCCCAGCACTATTCGGGTGTAATTTGAACCTGACCCGTTTTTAAAAACGGGTCAGGATTTCGGACCCGAACCTGACCCGATGTGGGTCCGGGTCAATCGACCCGACACGAATGATCCGAAGTTGACTTAAAATTACTAATTTTCAGGTCAAAAATCGGGTCAATCTTCGATTTTTGGATGAAAATCGGGTCAAAATGGGTCAATCTCCATTTTTAAGGTCAAATATGAGTTTTCGTTTCAATTTCGGGTTATTTTTTGATCAATTTCAGGTTGTTGGGTCAACCCAAACCCGACTCGATTTTTAAAACGGGTTGATTTGTTGAACCTGACCAGTTTTGGGTCCGAGGTGACCCTAATCCGGATTTTTTCGGGTCGGATTCGAGTCATGTCAAAAATTGACACCCCTATTAGGACCCATTTTGTCTACAGTAGGGCACTTTTGTCTAATTTATGGATTGGGCATTTTGCCAAACTAACAAAGTGAAGATTATTTTTTTCCCACAGATATTTTTTTGCAAATTCAATTTGGAGGTCAGCATTTTCATAGACAGGGGTTATTTGTGGTCATTTTTATTTGATTATATTTCAGTAATTGAGGTATTGTGAGCACTGTCCTAATGAGTGTGAGGTTGTCCATGGATGTGGCATATGCTCTAAAGCTTTAATTTATGTTTCATTTAAGACTGCTTTTCTTTTGTTTTCTAAAACTATTTTTTAATATAAAAATTTTTTGAATTTGAATTTTTTTAACTAAAAAATTATTTTAGAAAGCAATATGAATGTTGTCCCAAATGAAGTTTTAGTTATTTGTTTATTTTATTTCTATGGATGTTTATATTTGATTTTATAATTAATGACTTGTTATGTTAGTAATAATTGGGAAAACTAGATGAATTTAATTCAACCCAATTTGGCACTAATAGTGGGCTTCTCAATTTAAATGTTACTGGTGGGCACATAAGAAAAGAACAACAATCACCCTTTTAGTTTAGAGTATAATCGATTTCAAAGTCTACCAATATGACCTTTAATTAGTGAAGGTTTCATCTCCCTTTATTACTAAAGTGGGCTCAATAGACCTTGGTGCAATTGAAGATGTCCCCAAACCTACTCAATAATTTTATCCATATAAACATAGGTGGTATTATCATTCTTGTTATAATGTCTCTTTTTTGTATTCAATAACATTTGTACAAACATTGGTGCTTAGTCATCTCTATAGAGTTAGCCTTGTTAGGTCCCTTTAGGCTGATAGAGTGCTTCCTGGCTTGTCAAGGGGAGTCATGAATCGGTGATAAAGTTTGGCGTTTACAAAGGCTTCATTGTTAAGCTACTCCCCTTCGATCACTATCACCTGAATATAGTCATCAAATCTATGTTGCTCGACTACAGTTCTCAGGCCATCGTTATTAGATTACGATCATCTGATTACCGCCACTTGATGACAATCTTACAAACCATCATCAGTTAAGTACAATCTTTCATTATCCATTGCCCAATTATGATTCTCTAACCTCAATTACTTGATCAGGGGACCTTTCATTACTGTCAATCTCAATTAGGATTCTCTGCTCTTCATATCATGATTAAGGTTCTTTTTTTATTACTTTATTTTTATTTTCTTTATTTTTTTTTATTTTTTGTTTTTTTATTTTATTTTTTTTATCATGATTAAGGTTCTCCCACAACTGTTAGTCTCGATTAGGGTTCTCTGCCCTCCATCTCCTAATTATGGTCCTCTGGTTACCATTCGTCTATCATCGCTCGATTATGGTCATTTGATTAGGTCTTACCTGACTATTGCCATTCAAACACTATTACTCGATTATCATATTTTGGATCATTATCGTCTAGCTATGGTCCTTTCGACCGTTGTCGTTTTAGTCCTTCAAACCCTTGTAGATTGGTTACGGTCCTTTCAACCTCCATCTTCTGGTTACGGTACTCTGTTCTCTATCACCCAGCTACGGTCTCCCACCAAAATTTCTCGATTATAGTCCTCCCACTACTATTGCTTGACTGTGATCATCCAACCTTTGTTACGTTGCTGGATTTCTTAGTCTATGGCTTTCTCTTTTCAAAGGAGACCAGACAAATAATCAAGCAAGTGATCACTTAAAGATATATCTCATGCCATATAACTCATCAATAACCATTTAATATATTCTTTACTCATATATCATCTGAATTTATCTTGATTTGGCACGAATCTCAAGGCAATTTTGAGATGGAAATTTTTAAAAATAAATTTGGTACCATCTGAACTCCTATTTCAGCAAACTTATAGTCAAACTGGACGTCTCAAAAAGTTGAACCCTACGACATTAAATTAGACTCAATCAGAGCCCAGTTGGCTCTAAATCAAGGACCTGAAGTGGATTTGAAGGGTTCAAATCATAAATTGGATGACCAAATGATGTCCAAATATGACATGTTTATAGTTTAATCAAGCTGCTCGATGGGATGAATCCAACGAGTCCAAGATCGCATAATTCTAACATCATTAAGGCACTTGAATACTTTATAAATGGTTCATGATCAAGAGAATCGATATTAGTCTTCCATTCAAACAACTCCCAACATGCTTTTGATCTTCTCTCTCCCTAGCCATCGATACTCCTCAAACTTTCGCCCAACCACCAATTGTTGTTGGACTTACACCTAGCCACTGATTGTCACTTGACTTTTGCCCGGCCACCAACTGATGCCAGATATACGCCCAACCACTAACCATCGTCAAACTTCATTGGACTTTCGCCCAGGCACCAATTGTTGTTGGACTTACGACCGCCACCAATTGTCACCGGACTCTCCCCCACCGATCGATAGTCGCCGGACTACAATCCACTCTGACCACTGTCGCTCATTGAATATGATCTACTCTAAACACCATCACTACCGACTATGGTCTTTGCAACCTCTGTTGCATACTGATTATGGTCTCTCCGAGCACCATCTCTAAAATACAGTCTCCTCGACAGTCGTCACTCGACTATAGTCCTTCCAATTACTGTCGCCCGACTACGATCCTTCCAACTACTATCGGTCGGCTACAATCTTTCTAACCTCCGTCGCCCGACAACAGTTTTTTCGACCACCATTACCAGACAACTACCTTTTAATCTCCATCGCCCGTGGACTACGGTCAGAAATCGTCACCCGACCACGGTCCTTCCAATCTCCGTAGTTCGCCAACTACATTTCTTTCGACCACCGTCGCCGACTACTATCTTTTCAACCTTTGCCACCCATCGACTACGGTCCTCCCATCCGCTGCCACCCGGCTACGATCTTTCTGAGCTACATCGCCCGTCGACTATGATCTCTCCGACCACCAGCTTCAAACTATGATCTCTCCGACCATCATCACCTGACTACGATCTTTCTGATCATCATCATTCACAGATTATGGTTCCTCCGACCAACATCGTATGCCAACTATGGTCTTGCCGACCAAATGAGCATGTCAAGATTGATTATTCCAACTCACACTATATAATGCACTTTATATGATGTATATTTGCTACATCGAGCTAAGGAATGGCCTCATTTGTAATAAACTCCAAATACTAGTGGATTAGTTCAAACTGAGCCAACTCCCATAGTTTTTCCCCTTCTTAGTATTTTCCATGTAAAAATCTTGGTATCTCTTATGAATATTACACCCTCTCTTTTATCTATTTGTGTGATGGATCTTCGTACAACGCTAAGATGTTAAACTTTATACTTCTCTTCCGCCGCAAATATTCCAAAACGCAACAAAAAATAAGAATACGGAATTTTTTTTCGAGTTCCACTCCTTTTACTAAATTAATGAATGGTTAAGCTCCTTTTAAAATTTGGCCATTTCAATAATTAAAATATATTCTATTAAGCAAGTTTTTGTAAGAAAATAGACAGCCATTGACATAAACCCTTCTAAAAAACTCATAGAAGAAATAAATGGAAATCATAAACAATGTGTGTCCAAGGAACTATAATCAGATCTCAGCAAAGGGAGAATGCAAATGCGATGATGACTAAGGATTTTCATTCTTCTTTAATTTCATTTTTCATTCATCTTCATTCAAAAAATGCATTGAAATACCAGTTATACTTATATCCTTCTTTAAAAATCTCAATTTTATAGAAATCTATCAATATTTTCCAAATTAATTTAGAATATTTAGACCTATTCACAATTATATCCTTCCTAAAATATCACAATTTCATAGAACTCCTTCATTTTTTTCTAAATTAATAGAAAATATTTAGATTCATCTTTCTCAGTTATATCCTCTGTAAAATATCACAATCATAATTATAGCCATCAACTTTCCTAAATGAATATCGATAATTTATATACTTCCAAAAACTTCTCAATTTTATAGCCATCAATTTTCCTAAATACATGAAAAATTATTTAGCAATAATGTCTTTCTATTTTAAGAAATTATGCATATATTTGTGCTAAATTTATGTATTTTTGTGCTAAATTAATATTTTAAATTCCAAATAATATATATATATATATATATATACTCC